CACTCACCACCCCATTGCATCCCTTTCCCCAAACCTCCTACCCCAAAGGACTGACCTTGGGGATTTCTGGGGAGCCTAGCATAGGATATCTGTAGGGGTCAGGCCCCCACATTCATCACAGTGGCAGGAGCTGTGGGGAAGCAGAGCAACACAGCAGCCTGTCACCATCTCCCAGGCCAGGAGCACAGCAGGCTGAGGTGTTCTGCTTTCCCTGTATGAGGCCCAGAGACTGCCCCAAACCATTCTGTGAATGGGACAGCTCTGTACACACCTCCCCTAGGCCACAGATGGGGCAGGGGGATGTGCAGGAAAGGGATATGTAGGTCAGCAAATGTGCAGGAGTGGGAGAGAGACATGTGGAGATCTCGCTCCCCTCAGAGAAGCTGCCGGAGGGGAATGCCCACACTGGCCCACTAGAAGGATTTGAAGACTGCTTCTGGCCCTAAGTTAAACTGACTTTGAGATCTCTGCTCTAAAGCCTGTAATGTATTGCATTCACTGTTATTGTTACCTGCAATAGCTGAATTCAAGTTAGGTCTGATAGACTACTAGCCCATTGGTTTTCAAACTTTTTCCCTCATGACCCGTTTGAAGAAAATTGTTGATGCCCATGACCCAACATAATTTGACTAGAGTGTGGGCTCCAGAGTGAGGCTGAGGATGAGAGCTTTAGAGTGTAGGAGGCGACCTCAGTTTTGGGTGTGTCAAGGCTGTGGCAGGAGGGGCTTAGCTGGAATGGCTCCTAGTCAGCAATGAAGCGGGGTTCTGAGGCAGGCTTCTTGCCTCTCCTGGCACTGCAAACCATGCTGCAGCCCAGAAGCAGCCAGCAACGGGTTCCCGGCCAATGGGATTGCAGAGCTAGTGCTCAAAGCAGGAGCAGTGCGTGGTCACCTATGCACTCTCACCAACACTCTTTTCTGGTGTTGGACCTCTTCTGTTTTAATGACATTTCAGATACTTCTGCTGAGTTGGGTTTACAGCTCTGTCTCACAAGTCATTTTTCTTGGCATTCTTATTTTTATATATTATTTCTATCACAGTAGTTCCTATGCACAATCAAACATCAGGCCTCACGGTGGTAGGTGCAGTACAAAGAAGGCAGTCCATGCCCCTGAATGCTCATGATCTACATGACTGATGGGATGCAACAGCTGTATGAAAAAGACAAATAGAATAGAAGTAGGGTGGAGGATGAGATAACAATAACATGAATAAAGTTTAGCGGAAAAGCAGAAGTTGCAGTTTGTCACTTGCCTACATAATGCTTGTCAGGAGTGATTTGTAGGCACTATGGCAGAGGTAAGTGCTGATGAGGGATTTAAAGAAGGATAAGGTGGCAGCTTTATGAATTTTGTTGAGGTGAGGACTTTTCCCATTAACTTGGGATGATATGGGAGTAAGGTTGGGAAAGAAGTGGACTATCGATAGAAAGAAGATCCTGGTTTGTTGACTCAAGCATTTGAAAGTATGGATCCTGCATGCAGTGAAACAAAAACGGATTTATAACTCAGAATGTAAGTCTGAATAGTTAGAACTGGACTGCAACTGGCTGCTATTAGCCAGGAAATGGAGAACATAGGGACCAAATACTGAAAACAAAAAAACCCACATTTTGGAAGCAGAGAGCAGAAGAAAAATACTATTTCCTATCTCTCATGAGTATGATTTAGTTCATCTAGTCCTCCTGAGCCCATGCTGTGATCTACATGTGGAAGTGCTTCTGTCAATTTTCAGAATTAAATACTGTGAGAACCTAAGGCTATGTCTAGACTACAGAGTTTTGTCCACACTGCAAGCATGTTCTTTCGACAGTAAATCGAGGGTTTTTTGTGCAATTGGTAATCCTCATTCTAGGAGGAAGAAGCCTTTCTGTGAAAGAGCTCTTTTGCAAAAAAGGCATGTGTGGACAGGGAAGAGGAAGTGTTTTTGAAAGAAGAGGGAAGAGGAAAAAGCAAAGGTGCCCTGGTGGCCAGTCTGTCCATAGCAATCACTGTTTGTATGCGAGATAACATCCAGGCAGTCTAGATGCCGTTTTTCAAAAAAGCGCATCGCTTTTTCGATGTGCTTTTGCAGTGTGGATGCTCTGTTTTGCAAGAAGATTTTTTGGAAGATCTCTTCCAAAAAAAGCTTCTTGTGCAAGAAGACTGTAGTCTAGACATAACCTAACAGAAAGGGCATGTCTACACTACAGCATTATTTTGGAAATAACAATGGGAGTGTCCACACAGCCTGTTATTTTGACATTTTTTTTTTAAATAAAAAGCTTCTTATTCTGGAATAATAAAGCCTCATTTCATGAGCAATAATGCCTATTTTGAAATTGCTATTTCGAAATAGTGGTATTGTGGATGCTCCACTGCTGCTATTTTAAAATAGCTCCTCCCTTAGGGCAATTCAAAGTAATTACTCCCCACTGCTTCCTGGGACTCTAAATTGAGGTAGTGCATCCATATTAAGGGAGCCTGCCTCAGACTAACTTCGAGGCTTTCTTGTAGTGTGGACACGCTATTTCAAAATAACTATTTCAGGAGTTATTATTCTGAAATAACTTATTTCGAAGTACCCTTGTAGTGCAGACATACACAAAATGATTACAGAGCTGAGAAAGGGAGATGATTCTAGGAGAGTTTTAACTTTATGAAATCAGAGAACCCTAGAGCTAGTCCAACTCCCCAAGACAGCGTAGGACGGTGCCCTATAGGACATTTTCTAGTACTATCTGGTCAAGATTCAAATGTCCCAAACAATGGCACTTCCACCTCTCCTTTTGGACTGTGATTTTAAACAAAGTTCAACTCTCAGGACCCTTAAAATCTCTAGTAACAGTGCACTGCTGGATGTTTCCATGAATTCAGTGGAATCTGATATATTTCCCAAATTCAGAAAAGAATAGTTTTGAAACATTTAAAACAGTACAGTACTGTCATGACAATGAATTGACTCAAGCAGGGATTTGCTCTGAGTCAGCAATGGCAGTTTACAAGCATCGTGTGATGAATTAAGCCAAAAAGGACCCCTGTAAGGGAGGTAAGAAGCTCTATTATCCCCACCATACTGAGGGGGAAACTGAGGCAGAATAGTAAATATTTGTATGAAAGGATCAGCTATTACAAGGAGCTTTGTTGTGCTCAACCTAGATGGACAGACAAAATCACAATTTGGAAATTTCTGATGCTCAGTCCTCTGCTCTGAAAACCAGCTCATTTCTCTGACTAGTCAGCTTCTATCTTCCTTTTATTGCAAACACAAAAGCATTACCATTTGACAACAGAAATTTCTGGGCTCGGTTAGTAAGTGAATTTTTCTTCCTTGCGTGAGCTGTGGCTAAGAGTTTGCCAGAACATCTGTTAACATTGTAGCCTCCTGTAAAATGAATTAGGAAGCACTGAACAAATGAACATTTTAATCTCCTTTTTTGGTCACCTATGATAGTACCAAATTCAAGCAGCATTAAACTTCTCTTTAGGCAGGTGTATATTTATATCTTGTTTCTTGTTATATTCACTTCTTCCCTTCTCTCCCCCCACCCTCCAGTTTAGTTTGTGCTATGGTGTATGTCCTGAGTTTGCTTTCACAGGTGCCCAAAGGCAGTACATTTCTTCTATGTAGCTTCTGGCATCTCAAGTGTTTGTCATGGGTTTTCCAAGCCCCCATTGCTGTACAACCTGTATTATTGGCAGCCAGAAGTGCCCACTGATTTCCTGTCTTTATTTCCTTCAGAATTCACATTGTTTTTATTTTAACACATGGTTATTAATGGGTGCTACCAAGCATAAGAAGACATGTGATGCCAATGCTTCTGTTTTGGCACTGAGGAGGGACTTCCTGCAGAACACTTGAAGGACTTGAACATACACAGCCAAGAGATTAAGAACTGGAAGCACATGAAAAATGTAAGATGGGATTCCCAGCCAGAAATATGCAAAGGGCTAAATATATGGCCAGCCTCCTTTTACAGGCTTAGAGAGGAGAAGATGAACATCCCGATTAAAACACATATTGCAACTGAATTAGTTTGAAGAGGGAGAGGGGGACATGGAAAAAAGCATTTAGATCCTCTTAATTAACCTAGATGTTGCACTATCCTTGTTATCATGGCCACTACTTCTTTCAATAAGCAATTTTTAAAACCTTTAAGTGAATTTTAGTGATTTCTGAAGTGCAGGTTTGATAGCACTGGAAACATAATGCGGTCTAGTAGATAAGGCACTGAACCAGGAAACGTGAGTTCTATTTCTGTTACTGGCACTGACCTACTGTGTGATCTTGGATAAGCTGACTTGGGTCAGGCTGCAAGGGCTTTTTAATTGCAGTGGAGATGTCTGGGCTTGGTCTGGAGCCCGGGCTATAGGACCCTGCAAGGTGGGAGGGTCCCAATAGAGTTTGGGTTGCAGTCCAGGCTGGAATAGCTACACCACAATTAAACAGTCCCACAGCCTAAACCCTAAGAGTTCAAGTCAGTGGGCATGGGCCAGCCACAGGAGTCTAATTGCAGCATTGACATACCCGTTGCCTCCTTCTCCGAGCCTTTGGCTTTCTGGTCTGTTTAGACTGTGAGCACTGTGGCGCAGGGGCTGTCTCTTACTAAGTGCCTGAACAGTCTCTATGCACGGAGTGGGATGTGGGGGTGGAAGCAAGGAAAAAAGGGAGAGTTCACCAAAGTATCCATCTTTCAAAGTAGGTTGTTTTAAAGAGATGGAGGAAGGTCTGAAGAGTTGCTTTTTTCAGACTGGCTTTCTCAAGCCTATTGTTAATAGACATTTGACAGCTGTTTCTGAGGCGGTAAGGCTGTATGGCTGCTGCATGGCTTTGAAAGGGTTATTATTTAAGCATCCGTCCACCCTTCTGTCTATTGTACTGAGGTATATTTAGAATGCTGATCACCATAGAATCCAGGCATCCTCTTGTTGGGGTCTGGACTCTCGCTCTGCCAGCTGACATGCCTTTGGGTGATGTTTTAGTTCCCAGTACTTTCTTGAGATCAGAGGAAGAACACTCACCATAGCAGTGACCGCGACCAGCCTATTACAGGCTTCCTGTAGCATGTTCTGCGTCAGTTGCAACACAAGGTGACACAAAAGCCAACAACTTCAAAATTCACGCTCTGCGGCTTCCTTTCTTCCCATTCTGGGGGTGGGGAAGAGAGGCAAAGCATTTGTCTCCTGTTCTGATCTTCCAAGGCCTTTGCAGGAGGGTTGTGCACATGCTTTTTTGAAAGGGTGTTTTTAAGGGGGGGTGGAGGAAGGAGGAAACAGACTTATTTTTGCCCGGTGTTATGTGAAACAGATTGAGGGAAGACCTCTGTCAGCAGAGGGCTGTGGTCTCCCACAAAAGGCCACTGGCTGAAGGGCAGCTAGACAGATGGTCTGGCATTGGGATGAGGGGGGGTGTCATGCCTACTCTGGCCACATAGCTCTGCAGTTTCATGCTAACCTTTCCCTCCCTCCCCATGCACCCTGCCTCTTCTGGGAGCAACCCTTCCTTGCCCTCTGCACCTCCAATCCCTCCTCCTGCTCTAACCCCTCTGTGCTCCCCAGCTCTCTCTGCCCCCCTGGTCCCATGCCTCTCTCTCTGCCCCCCTGGTCCCATGCCTCTCTCTCTGCCCCCCTGGTCCCATGCCTCTCTCTCTGCCC